TCGACTGTATGTGGGCCGTCTTGTGGTAAGATTGGATGCTCCCTAGGCCGTCTTGGGTTGTCCGGCCCGAGAAGGCAAGAGCACGAACGTCCATCAGAAACCAATGGCAGTTCCGTGATGTGGGCCTCCTCCTGGCATCGCTCGGACGTGTGCATTTTTTCGGCGAGAAGCATCGAGGACCATCCTGGACCATCGAGCAAACAACAACACGCACGAAACCGGAAAATGCACTGGACGTGGACGTCCGAGCGATGGCGAGTCTTGGGGGCCCTCCGGACGTCCTCTTGGATGCGTGCTGGAGCGTATTGAAGGCATCTGCGGCCGTCTTGAGGCGGTCGCGAGCCGCGTCGAGGCCATCTTGAGCCGTGTCCGAGCCGACTTGGGCCAATTTGGGCGGCTCTTGGGAGGCCATCTGGGAGGCCATGAAGGACCCTCGTCGGTCGTCTTGCAGGCCATCTTGGGTCGCCTCTGGCGTGTTCGAGGCGAGAGTTTTGGGGTGTCATAGGTTTTCCAATGGCTTTCGCGGGGCCAGCGGCTTGAACCAGAGGCCACAGGGGATGTCTTGGAAGGGGAAACGTCCCTTGCCATCCAGCTGCTGGGCGGCGGATCTATTGGATATTGGCCCATCCTGCCACCGAGCCCGAGTCGTGGACAAGGGGCCTCATGGGTTCCTCTTGGGAAGGCTCTGTTTTTGTGGGCCTCTTTGGGCGTCTTGGGAGCCTCCTAGAGGCTTCTCTGGAGCCTTTGGAGGCATCTTAGGGAGGAGAGGAGAGCTCCGAATATATCTATATATGTATATATACACATATAGTTCAATCGATGTGTCGCAGTACCTGTGGTGTAACCGATGTGTGGTGTAACCGATGTGTGGTGTAACCAATGTGTGGCGTAACCGATGTGTGGTGTAAGCTATGGCGCACTATGTGCGATGCGACCTAAGTGGTGCAATGCATCTGGTGCAAAATGTGTGGTGTAAGCTTTGCAGTGCGCTAGACGTGGTGAAAGCCACGTGGTGCAGTATATGCGTTGCAAGTTGTGCGTTGCGAGCTGCGTGGCGCACTGTGCGTTTGGCTATTCGGTGCGAGCTGTGTGATGCGATCTGCATGGCGTAAAGTATGCGCTGCTCGCAGCGCACGGGCCAGCCCACGAGCTGTGCGATGCTATGGCCAGCCCACGGGCGCAGCCACGCCGGCGCACGGGCGAGCCCACGAGCGCACGGGCTCAGCCCACGGGCGAGCTCTGCCCATGCGATCTCTTCGGTGCGAGCTGTGCGGTGCTCGCAGCGCACGCGCCAGCCCGCGAGGCGCCCCTGGGCGGCCACGGGCCAGCGCGCCTGGTCGCGCCCACGAGGCGCCCGCGGCCGGCGAGCCACCAGGCAGCAGGCGAAGCCCCGCCAGCGCACCGGGCTGCCCACGACTGGCGACGGACCGGGCCTGCGGCAAGACCACGGCGCACCCCAGAGAGGAGGAGGAGGAGGAGGAGGAGGAGGAGGAGGAGGAGGAAGAGGAGGAGGAGGTGGAGGAGGAGGAGGAGGAGGAGGAGGAGGAGGAGCAGGAGGAGCAGGAGCAGGAGGAGCAGGAGGAGCAAGCGAGGGAGGCTGGAGGCCGCAGGCGGAGGTCGAGGAGACGGCGGGCACATCCAAGACGTAGGTGCAAGCCATGCGCGGGGAACTACATGAGCAACTAGAGTAGGGGTCTTGAAGAAGGAACCCTTTCCGTTGGGGAGGGGCTCCGTGTTCCTTGATTGTTTCACAGCTTGCCCTGGATTTTCCCGAGGTTTCCCATGGGGAATCGAAGTTTACCTTCTGGGAAAGGAGGGGGCTCGTTCCTTATTTAGTGTTCCTTAGGTCAACGACCCGACTGTAGATCAATTTGGTGTTCCGAGGGTTGGCATCGTTCCAGCTTGTTGCCGTGCTGTTGCCGACCGTTGCCGACTCTGGGTGTGTCCCAGGGATTCGCCAAGTTTTGTCCCGTTGCCGCCCGTTGCCGGCTGTTGCCGCTACTGGGGATGTCCCGAGGATTCGCTACGATCCGGCCGTTGCCCCCTCGATGCCGCCTCGTGCGCTGTGTGGGTATGCCGGGGATTCGCCGCGTTGCCGCCCGCTGCCGCCTCCTGACCGCGCCGTTGCCGCCTCGTGCGCTGTGTGCGTGCGCAGAGGATCCGCAAAGTTTCCACCCGTTGCAGCCTGTTGCCGTCCAAGTTGCCACGCATAGCTTGCATCTCAAAAGTGCTAAGTCTAGTCGTCTGGGGTCCACGCCAGCTGACATGGGTTCTCGGTTCTTACTTGTGTTACCTGAGGAGATGGATGGATCTGTCGAAGATTCCCCCGGGTGCCCAGTTGGTGCACGGTCGTGGGCGCCTCGTCGTGGTCTCACGAGGTTTCGCCTGGTGCCTTGTTGGTGCCCCGGTCGCGGGTGCTCCCGTCGCGCACATTGGGCGCTCCAGATGGCGCAACCGGCAAAGTTTTCACCACATGGTTATCACCGCCAAGTTTGCACCACATAGTTTGCTCCTCACAGTTTGAACCACAGAGCCTGCACCAGACGCTTTTCTTTACAAAAGTTGCACCGCATGCCTTGCACCATTCGTTTGCAGTGCTGTCGGTTCTAGCCCACGCTGGCAAACATGGGTGACCTAAGGGTTTTTGGTAAGCTTGGCTTTTTGGGCCTCATGGCCCTAGAGCCATCTTCGAGCACTGTGGAGGTTGAGGCCCTCGGCCACGCTCTCAGGGTTTTGGAAAAAGTGGTCACGCGGGGATTCGCGGCAGCGACCAGAGCACGGGGTCTGGGCCGTTTGCTAAGTATTTTCAGTATTTTGGTGCGGAGATCTGGAAGGAAGCTCGAAACAATCCATTCCGGTAAAAGGGATTTGGTGCTAGCAATGTGTTGCCCCCCAGTTGCTTACGTAGCTAGTTGCACTTACGTTTGCCATTTGGTGCAAGGTTGGCCTCATGCAGGCTTGCGTGCATCAAGTACTCGTATTTCGTCATGGACAATATTCGTGCCACTTCCATGACGACACCCTTCGGAGCAGTGCCGCCCGTGCGCCCTGGTTATATAAGATTGTTGCTTGCACGTCATGGCGAGTCACTTGGGAATCACGTCAAAGTTTTGGATAACCGCGCAGGTTGCGATACTGATGCGTTGACGGAGACGGGGAGGGCTCAAGCAGCAGCGTTGGGTGTAGCTTTGAGGGAATCGTGTGTCTTTCCTGGGGAAGGGCTTGTATGTGTGGGAAGCTCTACCATGCGGCGGGCTATTGACACAGCAACGATTATTGCCAAGGAGGCCTTCCCAAGTGCAGCTTACATGCAACCGTCAGATGCGTTAGTGGAGATAGACAATGGCAACTTGGACGGCCGATCCATTGACGAAGTCAGGGGTGAATTGGGAGCAGTAGCTGCGGCTTGGGAACGCGGGGACATCGATGTGCGTGTTGGCGAGACTGGTGACAGCCCCAGGATGCTACAGGACCGGGCAATTAGCGGCTTGCAAAGTGTGCTCAGCGATTTGCCACCAGGAACTTCTGTTGCGCTCATCGTTGCCCACTTCTGGTTGAACCGCACACTTCTTGCAATGTGGATGCGCATGGATCTGTCCAAACTTGGTGAGATCCGACAGCCCAACGCTGGCCTCAGTGTGGTGGATGTGGAGGTTTCTAATGTTCGGATTGCTGAAGTGCATATTGTCGGCTGGCAGCCAATCAAGGATCCTGGCCATGTACATGCATCTCCGACACCAGGGGAGGATAGCCGTGGTTCTTAACATATTATGGAACCGTTGCTCGCTGTTTGAGAAAACACATCCGCTAAGAGAGCTGACTCTAACAATGCCCGCATCGTCTCTCTCTCCCTCTCTGTCTGGTTCTCGTCCCCCCATGTCCAAAGGATGGCTTTATTGTCATTCCCCATATCCTAAGGATGTTGTTCTTGATCCCCATTGCCAAAGGATGGGGTTCTTGTTAATACTCCGACCGCGCCGACTCCTCACATTCACCTCCGTCCTCCTCCTCCTCCTTCTTAGAGTCACGCTCAGAGTCGCTACTCAGGTTATGGTGGTGATTATGATGATGTTAGTGGTGATGCTGATCAGCAGGATGGTGATGCTGTTGATGATGATGGTGATGCTGATGATGATAAAAAAGATGTTCTCGGCGAGGATCGTCGTGGAGCATCCTGGATCCTCACGAAAACGAAACATGCACGGGCAATGGACGTCCGAGCGACGGCGAGGTGTTCGTAGCTGCAGCCTCACGCGTCCGGCCCTTGGGCCGCGACTTTTTGCGCGGGTAGGAGCTCTTTTCGCGCGGGTGCCCGGCGCGGGGCACATCCGCGCGACTGCGCATCCGCGGGATCGTTCACCAGAGTCTGGAGGAGGAAAATCGCAGGCCTAGAGGTTGACACCAACACCAATATCGGCGGTGTGCCTCCACCGAGGGAAGAAAATCCCGATCTCGGTGATTGTGTTAATATTCTGGCTTCCAAGGTGGCCGGAATATTACCACCAACACCGAAATCTAGGATCATTTTCCCCTGTGGAGGCAGACCCCTGTGTTGGTGTTGGTGCCAATTTCCAGCCTCCAAGGAACAGGCACCTTATGCCGCAACCCTTGCTCTCGTATTCGCCTGTAAGGCCTCTTGGGAGGCCCCCTTCGCCACCGCTGCATTCGCCGTCGAAGTTCTGGTCAGAGCGCACCCCGGCAGAGGACGGGGGAGCAGCGGTATCGGTATAATACCTTGTGGCTTCCCCAGGCGGCAGGGGGAGGAGCGAAGATGGAGCGGGAGGAAGGAGGGGACGACAGTGATTGGCAGGGCGAGGTGGAGGGAACGAGGCGGAGGGATGTGTGAGGAAGAATTCGGGAGGAGGCAGCTGGGGGAGCCGCCGTCGCCTTCGTCGTCGTCTTCGTCTTCGTCGTCGTCGCCGTCGCCGTCATCGTCCTGAAGCCGTCGTCGTCCTCGCGAGACGTCGCCGGCAGTCGCCCGGCGGAGCCGCGGCGGTCAGGCACTCACCGCGGGGCCCTCCAAGAAGGCCCGGGCGGGATTCAGCTGCCACCCCCTTTCTTCGGGGGCGGAAAAGAGGGGGGTGAGGACTAGGGGGGGGTGGATATCATGGCGGGGGCCATGATATTTCCCCAGCTCTCATGGCGCCTCTTCTTGTTTCATTACGTCCCTGGCCCCCCCGCTGGGCCGCGCACATGCCGCCGGTCATGATTTGCACCCCCCCCCTCTTGGACACACCCCTCTTGGCCGCTCCCGACCTTTCCGCGCCGTCTGGAAGCGAGCGCGTCAGCGCACGCTCCTCGTAATGCGAACATCGAGGTCGGTCGATCGGGACTCGAGGTCTGGAGGATTGGAGGCGGAGGATCGAGGAGGATCGACAAAATTCTGAGCATCGGGGATCATGAGAAGGATGATGGAAAGGAGAAGACGGAGGCGAGGCTGGAGGGTGAGGTTGGGAACACAGAGGGTAAAAGGGGTGAGGATGGGGAGAAATAGAAAGGTGATGGGGAGAACGCGGAGATTGTTACCGGCCAGAGTTCTATAATCCCGACTTGCTGAACTTGTGGTTGTTTCCCCTGTGTGTCTCGTGAGGGTCTTGCGAAAGTGATTCGCGCTCCAAGTATTGTCCAGGAGGCCCTAAGACCGTTCAGCGTGCTGGTCGACCTTTCCAAGGACACATGCTACAGGAGCCTCCAGAGTTACCTTCGTGCCCTCCGTCATCCGCGCACGGTTGTGCAGCACTGGCCCAGAGGCTAGGCTCATTTGCTCGGTACCGCAGATCGCTCGGTACCGGGTGGCTCTGGGCCGCTGGCGACGTTCGACCACGCACGCCCGCGCTGGGGTCGCCGCCGCGTCAGTGCGGCACGAACCTGCCGTACGACCTGTCCTCCTCCTCCTCCTCTTCATCCTCCTCCCCCTCCTCCTCCTCCACCTCCTCCTCCTCCTCCTCCTCCTCTTCCTTGACTCCTTCCTGCCCACCTTCCCACGCGATCCCTCCCCAAACTCTGGGCACTGCCCCGCGGGTGCCATTCGTCGGAAACGGGAACACGTAGATTACCAGCGGAGGCTTGTGTTTGAAATCCCACCACTTTTTGACGGTCGGGGACGACGTCGGGGTGGTGTGGTGTATACTGTCCCCGGTTTTTTCAGGGAGCCAACGAAAAATGTATACACCAGGATCCCGTATACACCAGGATCCACGTTCCTGTGCGAATTTCAGCGCAGGGTCGGCAAAAGCGTCGGTGCATAGAGTTCGTGTCCCGCATCCGGGAACGCTCGCCCGTCGCGAAAGAGGTGTGCGGCGCTGGCGCCGGCGTTGGCGCAGGGCCAAGGGGCGTGTCCTCCTTCCCCCTCTCCCTGTCTGCCCCTCCCTCGCCTCCTCTTCCCCTCCCCTTCCCTCTCCCCCCCTTCGCGGCCTCTTCGACAGCTTCTGCCCGCCCCACGGGCAGTGGTCGATCTCGGCCAGGCTCAGCTCGGCCAGGCCCGATGCAGGTTCACTCGGCCAGGCTCCACTCGGCCAGGCCGAATTCGGCCAGGCTCAACTCGGCCAGCGGCCGAGCTGGCCGAGCTGAGCCTGGCCGAGATCGGCCTGGCCGAGTTGAGCCTGGCCGAGTGGAGCCTGTCAGATTGACCTCGGCAGCCCGCTCACGGCTGGAGGTGAACCCTGGCCGAGTTGGGCCCGGCCGAGTTGACGCCTGGCCGAGCTGATTCGGGCCGAATTGAGCTTTTGCCGCGATAATCCGTCCGAGTTGAGCCGGCCGGGTTAATCCGTTCAATTTGATCCCGGCCCAGTTGAGCCGGCCGGGTTCGTCCTGGCCGAGTTGATCCGAAGCGTTCTTGCCCCAGAGAAGCCCAAAAAGCCAAAGAGAAGCTTAGGGGGAGCCCCAAACAACTCCACGAAAGCCCGAAGGGGGGAGCCCCCTCTGGAGGCCTTCTTTGCCTTCCCTTGCTGCTTTGTTACGGCCCTTCTCAGAGCCCAGGGAAAACCCAGCGGCAGCCCGTTTGGCCCCATATGAGAGCCCTAGGAAAAGCGCAAACGATCCTCAAGAAGACCCCGAGAGAGCTTCACTTGAGTTCCGAAGCCCTCCAGGAAACCGAAGGGCCCAAACTCTATGCATAGAGTTGGGCTTTGCGCGCAAGGAAGACTTCTTGAACCTATCTTAGAGCCCTCTTGAAGCCGTCTTGGGGCCATCTTGGAACCGTCTTGAGGCCCCTTGGGACCGTCTCAGGGCCCTGCGGGAAGCCCAAACCAGCCCCAGGAGGACCCCAAGAGAGCTCCATGTGAGACCTGGACCCTCCAGAACCCCAGAGCCTCAGCTCTATGCATAGAGTTGGGCCTTGCACGCCAAAGGACCTTCTTGGACCCGTCTTGGGGCCCTCTTGGAGCCGTCTTGAAGCCCTCGTGAGCCCGTCTGAGAGCCCAAAGAGGACTCCAAGAAGGCTCTGCGAGAGGCCCTGGACCCTCCAGGAAGCCAAATGAAACTCTATGCAAAGAGTTGGGCCTTGCGCGCCAGGGGGACATCTTGGAACCCTCTGGGGGCCCTCTTGTAGCCGCCTTGAGGCGCCCTTGAGCCCGTCGGAGAGCACTCGGAAAAGCCCAAGCGAGCCCCAAGAGGACCCCAAGCCAGCTCTGCGTGAGGACCTAGAATCTCCAGAGAGCCCGAGGGCCCCAACTCTATGCATAGAGTTGGGTCTTCCGCGCCAGAAGGACCTCTTGGACCCTTGTAGGGGCCCTCTTGGACCAATCTTGGGCCCCTCCCGTCGTCGTCGTTGTCGTGTTCGCGGTCGTAGTCGTGGTCGTGGTCGACGTGATCGTGGTCGTCGTCGTCGTGATCGTCGTCGTCGTCGGCGGCAGAGAAAGAGTTGGACGGGTAAGAGGAGGAGGAGGAGGAGGAGGAGGAGGAGGAGGAGGAGGAGGAGTAGGAGGAAGGGAAGGATGGGGGGGAGACGGAGAAAGAGCGCGACAGAAGAATGCGGAAAGAGGGGATCGAGAAGATGGAGAGACGGAGGGAGGAGGAAGGGACGATGGAGGGAGGGAAAGGAACGGTGGGACGAGCCAGGAAGCGGAGAAAGAGAGGGAGGGAGGCGGCAAAGAAGGAGGCGGAGGACAGGGGAGAGGGGACAGGAGGAGGTGGAGGAGGAGGAGCTTCATCCTTGACGCTTCGCATATGCCCACAAACCCATCGAGACAAGGTGCCCAGGCGAGATGCCTTACTCAGGGATGAATGTGAGCATTCAGTGTAGCAGCATGCAGTGTAGCAGAGATGACCCCCAAAGAACCCCGAGAGAGAGGCTGAAGATGGCCCCAAAGGGCTCTCACAAATGCCCAAAGGAGCTCCAAGAGAGGCACAAGAGGGTCCCAGAGGGCGCCCTGGAGGCGGAGGGCCAACAACTAAAATATGTGGTGGTTGTGTCCGTCCTAGGTTCCGCTGGGAGCTTCTGAAGGCTTCTGAGGAGCTCTTCGGACACCCCCCAGGAGAGCCCCAAGAGAGCTCTCAGGTAGCCCCAAGAGAGCTCTCAGGTAGCCCCAAGACAGCTCGAATAAGAGGCCCAGGAGAGCTCCGAGAGAGAGCCCGCGAGAGCTCCCACAGAACATCCTGGAGGCGCCGGCCAGGGCCGCGGCCGAGCTGAGCTTGGCAGAGTCAATCCGGCCGAGATGATCCGGCCGGGTTGATCCGAGCGCCCTGCTGCAGCCAGGGCCCCGGCCGAGTTGATCCAGCCGGGTTGAGCCTGGCCGAGTTGAGTTGGTCCGAGTCGATCATGGCCGAGTGGAGTGCTGGCCGAGGTGATCCTGGCCGGGTTCGGCTGCTGCCAAAGAGCCGCCTTCTCTTCCAGCCCCAGCAAGCCACAGCTCGTCGCCGCAGTGCTGGCCGTGGTCCTCGTCGCCGTCAGCAGCGCCGCCGCCGTCGCTGTCGTCGTCGCACTCGGCGTCGTGCCCCTCTCGATGCCAGACTTAAATCGGGCCTGTCCCCCTACAGGGGGAATATTCAGAAATAGTCGAAGAAAAGTCTGGGGACTATTTTTTGAATATGTTTCACAATCTGGGGGCATGGTATGACTATTTTTTTAGTTTGTCGTCCAACATCCCCCTGTTGGAGGACAGGCCCGACTTGATGCCAGACGAAGAAGAAGAAGGAGAAGGCAGTCCGCGAGGCGGCGCCTGCCGCAGAGGCACCGGAGGAGCAGGGGAGGGCTTGAAGGGAAGGTTCCTCCCGCCTCCCTCGCTCCTCGCTGCCGTGGCCCCTCGCCCTTCCCTGCCCTCCCCTGCCCCCTCCCCTGTCACTCGCCCTTCCCTGCCCCCTCCCCTGTTCTCCTGCCCCCCTGCCCCTTTGCCCTGCCCCCCTCCCCTGTCCCCTCCCCTTCCCTGCCCCCCTGCCCCTCGCCCTTCCCCCTGCCCCCTCCCCGGGGCCCCCTCTGGCCTCCACCCCCGCCAGCCTCAGCAGCAGCGCCAGCAGTGGCACGGAAGAGAGGGGGCAGCAGCAGGAGACGAAGAGGAGGCGTGGCTGCGGCGGTGGCAGCCGCAGTAGCAGCACCCTCAGTACTGGTGGTGTCTCTCGTGGCGGCCAAAGAGCAGCAGCAGCAGCTGCAGCAGCTGCAGCAGTAAAGGCAGTTGTCTTCGTGGTTGTGGTCGAAGTGGCGTTGGCAGCAGCAGAGGTATTAGCAGTGGTGGCAGCATTGTATCAGTTGTGGTAGGGAACGCAGGCATAGTAGCCGCCGTCGGAGTAGTAGTCGCAGTCGCAGCAATAGTCGGAGTAATATTGGTAGAGGTAGCGGTCGCATCGGTAGCATGGATAGCGGCAGCACAACAAGCGACAGCCACGCGCCCAGCGCGTGTGAAATCTTTGACCCGAGTCACGCGCAAGAAATGCGCGGCACACAAGTGACTATATTCTGACGTACGGGGGTGTGTACAAAAGAAGGTGGCACGGTGTCAAACCTCACCATGGGACGCTACAGCACATCATCGGCACTACAATAAGGAATGCAAGGCAGCATCGCGCGCAGAATGCCCGCGGAAGGTTGCGCGTGAATGCCGCCCTTTTCCAAGTCCGTTGTTGCCTTGATTGCCAATGTAAGTCGTCGCGTAAGGATTCGACCGCCACGTCTTCGCATACGGACGCGACCGCCGCGTCTTCGTGCGTAAGGCCTTGTTTATGTGCGCTCAGATGTCTCGCTGCTGCCTTTGTTGCCTGTGTAAGTCATCGCGAATGGACGCGGCCGCCGCGTCTTCGTGCGTAATACAGTGTTTCTTTGCGCTCAGATGTCTCGTGAATGTGCAGGTCTGGTTCTTCTGAGCGAAGTTGCTGTTGGAGTGGACTGTGTTGAGTTTGGGCTCAAGCTACGGCCACCGCCGCCCCAGCAGAGCGCCAATGACGCACGGCTGAAGTCGGCTCGATCGTGGGCGTGATTAGACCGAAGCATGCGCGGCCCAGGGATGGCCAAGGCCGATTCCTCCAGGAATGGTGTAACAGATGTGTGCAGACTTCTCGATGCACAGGAGCCCTCTGGGAGCGACACCGCAATGACCTTTGCCTCGAATTGTTCATTGAACAGCTACCCTACGGCTCTGAACAATTCAGCAGGTGAGGGTGTTCAGATTATATGTGTGGGTTTAATGCGGACAGGCCTTCGGTCTCTCCGCAAGGCATTGGAAACACTTGGCTATAACCAGATGTATGACGCTGAGCAGATCGTGTCCACGTTCGAGCTTTGGGACAACATCATGAAGAACGACAGCATGGACGTGCACACGTTCCCCAATATTTTCCAAGGTGCCAAGGTTGCCATGGGCATGCCAGTGTTTGTGTTCTGGGAAAAGATTTTGGAATTCTACCCACACGCGAAGGTCATCTTAACCATTCGGGACGAGGACGAGTGGGTCAAGTCCGTACTTAACGCGAAGGCGATGATGGATAATAACATGCCCGGCGCGCCATTGGCATTACGAGGGCTTCTTGGCACATGGGAGGGCTTCTTGGCACCATCTTATCACAAGTACTGCGAAGTGCTGCGTTTTGCGTGGAGCGTCACATTAGGTGGCTTGCCCATGAGGGGCGGGGCGCTCAACGAGATGATCGTCCGTGGCAGCTTCCGCAAACACAATACCTATGTGCGGAGCATGCTCGAAGGCAAGACCACTTCCAACGGAGAGCAGCAACTCCTCGTCTACAATGTGCGCGATGGCTGGGCTCCGCTTTGTGATTTTCTGGGGGTGCAGATCCCTAGCGAGGAGATCCCTGCAGTCCTCCAGGTCCCGTACTTCCCGGGGCAGGGCGACGCGGTAGACAGACAGGAGGTCGACATGGTCGAGGCGGACCTCCTCGTGCCCGACAGCGTCTTCGGGCTGCGCATGCGCCAGGAACTGCGACGAGGATTAGCCGTGACAGTTTTGGTGGTTGCGTTGGTGCTGGCAGTGCCGGCCATGCTGGCCGTGCGTTGGCAGGCCTTGCAGGGGCTGTTGGCGCTGTTCTTGGTCGTGGTCTTGGCGATCGCATGGGAGGTGTACGTGGTCATGCACACCGTCGTGATGAGGGTCGACGCTCTAGTGGTGTTGCCGCTCATGATGAAGAGCTTACTCATAGCAACGTGCCTGCAGGCGTGCTTCATCACCTACGGTTTCCTGAAGGAACAGATGGTCACACAAGACCGCATCGCATCCCCCCTTCTAATATTGTCAGCCCGCCTTATGTCAGTATTCTGCGGCATGATCGCCTTGGTTGCTACCGAGGGCAGGATACACTTTGGCGGTGTACCATTAAAGTCATTCGTGTATTTCAGTGTCACAAACGAGGGCTCCACGTGGGCCGGGTACGAGATGTTGAAGTACGTATCCTTCCCTGTGCACGTCATGGCCAAATCTTGCACTCTGCTGCCCAACATGCTGATGGGGAAGATGCTAAATGGCACTTCCTACCAGTGGTCCCAGTACGGGCAGGCCATTGCCGCTATGGTCTGCGTCACGATCATGCACCTCTCCGAGGGGCACAAGGAGGGCGGTCAGCACAAGCAGATTGCCAAGAGCGAGATGAGCGATTTCACGAAATTCATTTTCGGCGCCTCTCTGCTTATCCTGTTTTTCGCTTGCGACAGTTTCACCTCGCAGTGGCAGACGAGCCTTTACGCAAAGCACAAGAACCTTACGAAGACGCAGATGATGGTGTGTGGAAATCTGGTGGGCCTCAGCATCACGCTGATTTCCATCACAGCCCAGTTCGGTAAAGTCCGCGAGTCCGTGGCCGTTGTGATGGCAGACGGCGCCGTTCTTGGACGCCTGGTGCTATTGGGCTTGAGCGCAGCGATGGGACAGTTCTGCATCTACACTGCCATCAAGATCTTGGGCCCCCTAGCATTCAACTGGATCATGACAACGAGGCAGCTACTGTCGGTACTGATTTCGCTGGTGCTATTCGGGCACGGTGTTTCTGTGACCAAGTTCACATGTATCTTCGTCGTGTTTGCAATCATGAGTGCCAAGCACTTAGCGAAGGCTGGGACAGCGTTCAAGAAGCACGCCAAGTGCAAGGCCAGATCCCAGTCCAAGGTGTCACGCCCCCACTCCGAGACGCCCCCCTGTCCAAGAAGTCCATTGATCACCGATGGGACAAGCCAGGACATCCGAGAGTGGCAGAATGAGTACGGGAATGCGCGTCAGGCGAGTCAGGCAGCCGCCACTGGGAATAGCATCAACAGTGGCCTTGACGCCACCATCAAGAAGGAGGAATAGGTGGCCATCTTTTCCAGTGTGCGGCCGGCCACTCCGCCTCAGCGCTGCACGACAGAGGCTTGCTGCGTGCACCGTGCACGGGGTCTCGTCGTGCGTGAGCGCCCACACCCGCACAGAAAAGGCGACCAGCTTGTCGATCGGGACAGGCGGATCCCACTCCGTTTCCACACTTGGTCGTCCGTGGACCAGCCGCTCGGCTCTGGAGTCCTCACCACCGTCCCATTGTCCACAGCCATCGTTGTAGGGAGGTGGTGGCCCGTCTAGTGGAGCCCCCGTTTGCCTCCCTAGAGTATGTTGTGTTTCCCTCTGGCGATCACGGGCTTTCCAGGGGGAGGAGGGGGGGGGCAAGGGGGGGGGGAGGGGATGCAGGGCGGCCCTGGTGATGGCCATTACCTCAGAAGGGGTGGCGAGGCCCTGAGGTGGAGGGGGTCGCCTGAGAGGGCCCCGCATGAAGCGCGCGGCGACCTCCCCTTGGAGTGTCTCGGAACGGATCGGGCGCATCCACATCAGGGCTACAGTCGGGGCGCTGGAGAAGGAACCCTTTTCGTTTGGGAGGGGCTCCGTGTGCCTCAGTTGTTTTACAGTGCTCCTTGGGTTTTCCTGCGGTTTCCCATGGGAAATCGGAGTTTAACTTATGGGAAAAAGGGGCCTCGTTCCTTATTTAGGGTTCTTTGGGTCAACGCCCCAACTGTAGCTCCTGTCGCATCTCTTGCCCTGTCATCTTGCGTCGATCCAGAAAGGAAGCTCACCTTCGAGGGGTCGTTAGGTTGGAACGAGCGCGCTTTGTGGACGCTGGGAAGGGGGGGCCCTCTGCGCCCCCCCCCCCCCTCACCACCCCCGAGATGCAAGGGGGGGGTGTCCAGCTGCGGGGGGGAGGCCGCCCCCCCTCAAGAGGGGGGGTCTTCGAACCGCCTCACCTTGGAATTGCAGCAAGGGGGGGGGTCCGGGAGGGGAAGGGGGGGTCGAACCGGGTGAGTTTTCCAGTCCCCCCCTCCCCAGTGGCAACCGACGATGGCGAGCGCCGTCGGGCAACAACGACGACGATTAAACCTGCGTAAGATGCGATTAAGGTCACATCGAACCTCTGTAAGAGCTCATTCGAGCTGGACCGAGCCCTTGTAGACTTCAAGTCGAGCTGGATCTAGCTATAACAGGATGTGGATTTTGTGTGAGATGGATTGGGCCTAAGTGGATTTCGATTCGAGCTGAATCCAGCTATAGCAGGTTTCTATCAGATGTGGATCGAGCCCGACTGGGATGCTCTTAACAGTGGGTTCAGGTATAGTAGGCTTCTATCCGAGTTGGATCGAGCCCGATTTGGGTGCTCTTAAAGTTGTTTTCAACGATAGTAGGATTCCATTAACGTTGGATCGAGCCTGACAAACTAGGCTGGTCTTACATTGAGACCCAGCTATAGTAGGATTACAGTAGAGCTCGATCGAGCACTAGTCGGGTTCTATTTTGGACAGGGGCGGGGGATGCGGCTCGCCCCCCCCCTCGGCTACAGAGGCCAGTTCCGACGTGTCCAGCATTTGTTTTCAAGCAGGCGTCCACGAAGCGCGAACTCTCATAGATTGATAGCACGTCCCCAGCAGAGACCCATGGAAGTCGTGGTGGACCCCTTGCGAGAGGCCAGCGGCGGCGCAGCAAGAGTGAGTACCCCGAGCTGGCCAGGCGGGACAGGCGGACCCCACCCGTTTCCACACTTGATCGTGGGCCAGCCGCTTGGCTCGGGATTCCTCACCACCGTCCAATCGTCCAGCGCCATCGTTGTAGGGCGGTGGTGACCCGGCTAGTGAAGCCTCCATTGGCCTTGGAGCATGTTGTGTTTCCCTCTGGCGATAACGGGCGTTCCAGGGGGGGGAGGGGGGGGCATGGGGGGCGGGGGTGCAGGGCGGCCCCAGTAATGGCCAGCACTTCGAGCTGTAAGTTACCCGAGACATACCCACCAACCAACAGCCTCCGCCGCACCTCCCAGCAGCCCACGGAAGTGGCAGCTGGCATTTGCCCGGCAGCGCCCCAGGCAGCCGCGAAGTCTCGCCTGACGACCGCCTCAGCTGGACCTCCCAGGAGCCCACGAACGTGTCGACAGCTGCGCCGTTGGCAGCCTCCCAGGCAGCGGCGATGTCTCGCCTGCCAACCGTTTCAGCTGGACCTCTCTGGGAGCCCACGAACGTGGCGGCAGCTGCGCCGTTGGCAGCCTCCCAGAAAGCGGCGATGTCTCGCCTGCCAACGTTTCAGCTGGACCTCTCCAGGAGCCCACGAACGCGGCGACAGCTCCTCAGCTGGCAGCCTCCCAGAAAGCGGCGATGTCTCGCCTGCCGCCCGCCTCCGCCGGACCTCCCAGGAGGCCACGACATTTGCGCCTCCTGCGCAGCTGGCAGCCCGCGAGGTCTCGCCTGCCGACCGCCTCCGCGGGACCTCCCAGGAGCCCACGAAAGTTGCGACCGCTGCGCAGCTGGCAGCCTCCCAGGGAGCCGCAAGGGCTGAGTGGTGACAGCTCCCACGGGGGCTAGGAGGCAGGAGGCAGGAGGTAAGCGGAGGAGGAGGAGGAGGAGGCAGGGAGGTGGAGGAGGCGGGAGGATTGAAGGAAGGAACAAAGGAAGGAAGGACGGACACGTGCGAGCAGGATTCCTTTTAAAGCGAGAATCCAACACTGGAGAGTCGGGTTCTTGCCTTGCAGATGCGCTCTTACTTGTTTGGGGAACTCAACGTGCATGTTCGTTGTCCGATCTGACCGATGGGAATGTCGCTCGGCCGCGTCGGCTTGATGGATCGACTTGTCACTCCTCGTGATCTACTGCGCTCGGGAAACTCTGGAGCAATACTTCGGCTACCTGGTTTCGGGGGGCCTGGCCGGGTGATGTCCCCAGGCAAGTCCAGAATGCATCAGGGAGTGTTCCCAGATATTCCGGTAGGACCACGGGATGTTTGCGGGGAGAGATACAGTGGAATTCGTGCCACGAAACACCATGTTTGCCTCCTGGGTGCCCTGGGTTTCTTTGGTTTCGATGCCTTTGCTAGGGAAAACGTGAAGTCCCCACACAGCACACCAGTGGGTCTCCTGGAGTCTCAGGGTTGGGCCTCTTGTGGAAGGTTTCCTGTGTTCGAGCTCCTGCTGTACGGGAAGTGTGGCCGAGAGTTCCTACACCTACGACGCCGTGCTCTCCACGACGTGGGGCCCCTGGAGATCTGGACTCTTGCCCCGCCGCTGGCTATCCGTCCTGCGTCTTTTTCTCCGACGGTCCTGGGGCTGGGCTAAAAAGGCCCCCAGAGTCGAGCAGGGGGGGACGCAAAGAGGAGGTGAAGAAAAGGGCGCCAAAAAGGCACCGTGGGGCCCCTTTGGGAGCCAGCACTGCAAGTGGTAGGCAGAGTCGCGCAGTGGTATCTATCTCCTCGATATTTCCCTGAACTTCAAAAGCTCAAGCTCGTCCCATCGAGCTTCCTTGTCTCTCCGCGCCTCGAAGCGCAAGCGAGGGGGCGCTTGAGCCAAAATGGCTACGGAAATACACATATGGGCGGGCCCTGCAAAGTACCTCACTCACACTCCTTGCTCTCTCGAATCTCTATGCTCAGGCTTGCTCAGAACCAGATCTGCACCGATGAGGGTCCTCCAAGCTGAGCATACTATCTTCGTCTGAATCATCACTCGAGAGGGCCTCGTAATCGGGAAACTCCAGATTTGCTGCTCCAGAGGCGAGCTCCCTCGATGACTCCGAGCTTCTCACAACCTCCTGCGGGACATTCTCGAATGGCAGGATCCCTGCTGACTTCCGTTTACGTGCGCTCTGGTACTTGGCGTCATGGACCAGTTTCCAGCGGTGGCCGCTGTTGAAGTACATCCTTAGCTGTCCTGGCTCGTGCCCCTTGGTCAGTGAGTTTGCTAGTTGAGCATCGCCGTGGACCCAGAGCATCCAGTTGTTGGCGGCCTGGGTTCCTTCCTTCAGCGTCATCGCCTCCACGCCAGTCCGCTTCTCCTTGCCACGGAAGGTGTAAATTGTAGTCTGGAGCTTGTCGTACATGCCCTTGGCGTCCACCACAACGGCCCCTGGCAGTTTGGCAAGCGTCTCCTCCGGGTTGCGCCAGGCGATGGAGTTGCCGAGCAGCTCGAGACGCTGCAGCTTGACGCCGAGCAGCTCGTCCTCCGCATCCGCTGCGGACCGTTTCTCACAGGCGACGGAGCTGCGACAGCCTCGGTCGATCCTGCCGGACTTTTCCACGACACCAGGCTCACGTCGGTCTCGTCACCCTTCAGTCAGGAGGGGAAAAAACAGACAAACACAATTAATCGTCGATCCCCCGGAAAATATGGGAAAATATGGGAAGTTGGGGGGGAAGACAAAGACCCAGAAAATACAGGAAAATATAGGGAACCTTTTTATTTGTGTAGATTTATTTTTATGTCCCAGGGCCCCTTCATTCAGGATCTTCAGCGGGGCCATACCTGCAATCAGGCCCTCGGTGAACTCCCCGCCGGGCCGATTCGACTCGGAGGAGTCGGACCACTCAATCGGCACCAGCACCTGTGCCTGTGATTTCCAGCCTCGAACATATCCCTATCCTTAAGATTGACACGCCAAAAGGCGATGACAATCTTAGGGATTCGCCCTCAAAAAATGAGGGAATCCCTAAGATTGGCATCGTGATGAGGAGGTGCCGAGCATAGGGATAGGGATATGTTCCAGGCTGGTAATGTGAGTGGCTGTGGATCACCACCGGCACGTCAGCGCACTCTCGCACTTGGTCGACCAGCCTCTTCGTCTCGTTGACGGTCTGCACCGTCGACGAGGGGATTGTGCTCAACAGCAGGCTTGTGTCAGCCGAGTGCAGTGGGCCAGACTGCTCGGAGCGCCAGCCGACGGCGCCCAGGATTGCTCTGAGCTGACCCGTCTCCTTGTCGGTGGCATCCGCGTCCTTGTTCCTCTTGCGCTCGGGGATCAGGAAGGCCTTCTCAATGGTCTTCACATATTGACTCTGGTCCATGCGAAAGCTCCTGTCGGGCTGCTGCTTGATCAGCACTCCGGTCTGCATGAACTCCTCGGTCTCCCACGTCTTCCATTTGAAACGCCCTTGAATCTGCTCTCGAGCCATGACCCATCGCGGATCGGATTCCTTGCCGCCCAACAGGACATCATCCACGTGCGACCGGGCGACCGCCACGATGTCGAGGTCGCCCTTCGTTGCGACCAGCTCGTCGAGCACCTCCGGGTCAATGAACCCCTGCAGTGCCTCCTTGGTGAAGCTGTTGTCCTGGCCGTGCGCGTCGCCTTACAGCACCCAGACGCACGGGTCCATCTCCATCTAGGTCCAGCCGACTTCCTCGAGC